TTGTCACATCCCCAGCCCAGAGCTGAAACCTCTTGAAGTCATCTGTGATTGTCCCAGTCTTCCAGTCCCATGCCACTTCATACTAAAAAGGGCTTTTGGTGTCCAGGGAGATATGCAGGAAAGGTTAAAAACTATTAAGAATCATCACAAGCCCACAACTGAAGCCTATTTCTTTTTTCATATGTTGCACAAGCAATTCAAGTAAAAAAGAGTAGGTCTTCAATCACAAAGTTGTGGCAGTCTTCTTGACTTAGTTCTGATGCTCATTGCAGATGCACCTCCTGGGAGAGAAATGGAGTCAGGAGAATCCATGGATTGCTTTGCTTAACTTGGCTTGCATTAAAATTGAAAGGACAACATTATTCATTAGCTTGTGACTGGGGCAGAGAAGGACTCAGTAGTGGGGTTATGCCAGTGTACATTTCTTTCAGTATAAAGATTGCTAGGTAGCACTTTAGTATGGCTGCTTAGCTATTCCTATGCTAATTTAGTGGTAGAGAAGTAACAAGGATCCATTTGGGTCATTGCTTTATTTATCATGAATCTGGCATATTTTTCTTACCATTCTTCAGAAACAATCCTACATACTCTTATCACCATTTTTTCTCTTCTTTCTCTTACAAGTCCTATATACAGTACACTTACTGTATACAGTTTCTTTCACTAAAACTATATTACATTTATCTCATTGCACAAAAATTACAACTTTCAAAAGTGGCTTACTATTTCATAATAAAATTATAATACTGTACTTACATAATACTTATGAAATATACTGGAATATTTCATAACAGGTTCAAAATGAATAAAATTTCAAGATAAACATTTTAAAGAGCCATTTTATTCCATTGATTTTATTGCTTTATGTCATTAATTCCATTTATGATCCCGGCATCACAAAATAAAAACTGAAACCAAGAACATAACATGAAAATAGCTGGGAATCAAAAGTTATTTAGGTAAGCTCTACCACTTACAGCTTCCCTGGGTGTGCCATGAATTGCAATGAGCGATGAATGTAATCAATCCAAATATCACTCGTATTTCATGATTGTTTTTCTATCAGGATTATCTTGAGATATAAGTGTTATCTTCCCACAGTATAGAAAAGAATACCTTAATTTATCTGGAGATATCTTGAAAACTGGATGAAAGCTAGGATTTCCAAATAACTGTTGACTGTAGGCTTTTCATGCTATCTTCTTTTATCAAAGAAACAGTTGCACCAAATTGCTATTTTGTTTATCTGATTTCTAGAACATCAAAAAAAGCAGAGTTTCTATTACGAGCAATCCAATGAATAGTTGCAAACTATTGGTAAATTATTATTTGCCTAAAATGTTTGTTGGAGGCTTTATCACTATATTGTATATGTCATTATATGTCATTTTTAAATTTCCCACTTCATTTATTTACTTACTTACTTACTTATTTATGATGAGATGATTAAAGAGCAGTATCTACTAGAATTATTGTATGAATGTGATTGAAGTAAGAATAATTTCTTTTTTATCATTAACATTTAATAGCAATAAAAATTATTTAACAATAAAATCTAACATTTTTATTGAGTTATGAAGTATTATAAATTGTAAAATACAAAGTAAATAGAAAAGCAGGGGAAAGAGAAGTGAGAAAAGATAACAAAAAAATATTTATACCCTCTTCATTCACTGTGTTCTTCTGTCAAACACAACACCCTTGGTCTTAATAGGTTAGATTTAAAATTCGTCATACACATCATAGAATAATTGGACTGATGTAGGATTTAAATTGGGATGAGGGGGAAAAGGGAAGAGAGGTGGAGATAGGATGGCAATGTAGATTCAGGCTATTTGTGAGATAGGTTACAATTATGTTCCTATTTAATAATTGCTATATTTGAAAAACCCTTGTTGTCTGTTGAGACCTTTGTACCTGAGCTTGTTGATCAGAATGGTCGGCAGTTCGGTGGTTCAAGTCCCTAGTACAGGTCTCCTGCGTGAGCAGGGGTTGGACTAGATGACCTCCAGGGTCCCTTCCAACTCTGTTACTGTTTATCTACTGCAGATGAGTCCAACTCTCATTCCCTGGTGCTGTTAAAAGTTTCCCATTTTATTGAGCTCTACAATAGATTGTCTCAGAAAACTGAAGTAGCCTGATGTTACATTGTCCTTCTGTTGATTAATTCCTTTCGGTGAAGCTTGTCTCATTTGTCTTAGGTGGAATCCAGAGGGGTATTTTTTGCAAAGGAATAGGGGAAAAACATTTGAAGGCATCTTGAATCTTGAGTGAATACTTGTTGGGGCCTGGAGTGAGAACTACTTGTATTCTTATATAACGTTCTGAATTTATCAGAAAGAATAAATTCAGGATTTATCCACTTGAGTTTCATTTAAAATGTTTATTTAATTTTTATTTTTAATTCCATCCACTCTGCTATGGAACCCTAATTAAGCTGTTTTCAATTAAGTCAATAATATATTTATTTGTTCATTTGAAATTTCCATCAAATTTTTTGCAACTATATTTTTGCAATTATTTTTCGCAATGATCTTTTTCTAAATTTTGAACATTCTTTTATATGTATTTCTTCTTGTATACGGTAGATTCTCTTCATCAATCTACCAAGCATATTTTTTTGTATTTCCAATTAGTACATTTCCACATTTCTGTAACACTCTATAATTACTATTATTATGTTCAAGTAGCTTCCATATTATCTTTTCCTAGATCTCTATGCCATTCATTTCAAGGAGAGATAGATATTTTTTTGAGTATTTTTTTCATTCAGAACTTGCAGTCTCTCTTCCTACAATTAGCCAATCACTCTATTTTGATTCCATTCCTTCCAACGGTTTCTATGATCTATAGGTTGACTTGACTCACAGCTACAAACTGAATTGGAATTTTTGTCATTAAGTAAAGTATATGATTGTTAACCAAATAACATAAATATTAAGCAAATCCAGCTGGGAGGCCACAAATCATGATTATGTGATTGCAGGAGGCTTCAATCTTTGTAAATGTGAGCTGGTTATCAACTACCCAAATCATGTGACTGTCTTTGATATTATTTTGTATAAAAGGGACATTACATCAACCTGTTATACAATTTTATTGGATAGCTTGCCCAAACCATGATTTGTGAATTCACAAGGTTAACTTATTAGACCATGAAACAATTAAGTTGCAGATGCCATGAGCAGAATGAACTGTGAAAGAGCATTTGAACCACAGGTGGTATTCAGCAGGTTCTGACCAGTTCTGGAGAATAGGTAGTGGAAGTTTTGAGTAGTTTGAAGAACCGGTAAATACCACCTCTGACTCGCCCTGCCCCCATCTATTATCTGCCTCCCGAGTCCCAGCTGATCATGAGGAAATTGGGATTTTGCAGTAATCTTCCCCTGTAGTGGGAATGGAGATTTTACAGTATCCTTCCCCTGCCATGCCCACCAAACCACACCACACCCACCAAGCCATGCCCACAGAACCGGTAGTAAGCATTTTTGAATCCCACCACTGATTTGAACGCATTCATTCTTATGACTTTATCAACTTTATCTGAATGCATAGTGCAGAAATATATGCATTTATTTTACACCATAATTTACACAGTGGACTGTAGTTTGCCTATATGCATTACCCATTACTATTTGGAAAAAAAAAGTGTCATACAGAACTTGAATTATGTCACTTTTATAGGCTGTCCCAAAAGTGCTTTTCCAAAAGACAACTGAAGAACTGAAGCAGCTTTTTGGTTGAGAAGCAAAATGTTTTCAAGGAAAAAAAATCAAGAAAGTCTAATTGTCTTTGGGAAAAGCACCTTCTGGACAACCATGACCTGGACGATTTGAGAATCTCCAGAGACTTTAATGGACTCATTTATTAGCTTATCTTCTGCATGCTACATACAGTATAGATTGTAGAAGGGCAAAATCGGAGATCAAAAATGACCACACTAAAAAAGGCAAGTACTTCCATATGTAGTGGTGATTTTGTTACTATCTTGATATAAATCAATTTGAGAAGGGATCTTCAGTGTGCAATTATGGAAGTAGTTTATGAATTAGAACAATTTTATTTGATAGGGCGAGAACTGGATTCACTATGTGGCTTTAATGCCATTACCACTGTATTCTTGCTATAGCTAATAATGCCGTCATATACAAGTGTGTGTTTGTGTGTATGTGTATGTGTGAAATATCTTGCAGCTGATGAAGTGATGCCATAATCAACAAATTTATTATTAAAACTTAAAATGTTAAAATATTCTTTGTTAGTTTTGCTGCAATAGATTAATGTTGTTACCCTTATGGAATATACCATATGTCAAAAATTCATAAGAGGTTCAGTATTGTATGTGTTCTTCCGTGCTCTGCTTCCTCTACTTGTCAGTTAAATTGTAAAGAACATTTATTCAGTAATTGTCATGTTAATAAAACAAGATTCAGAAACTTTAATAATGTAAATTGTATTTGGTTTGAAAATTTGGGGATGGGAGGGACATGAAACAATTAGATGCTTGTCAGCCAGTACTTTGCTTTTGCAGCAAACTTCACAGAGAATTTTATTACAGCCTGATGCTAGAAAGGAAAGAATATTTGAGTTTTAAGGCTGCTTCCAAATAGAGTTAAATAACTCTATGCCCAGAAAATGAAAACTTCACTTGAATACTGTAGCAATAATCTCTTCACACAAGTTATCATATACATTTTTGTTACAAGTAAATATTTACAAGAATTCTGAATGCAGTGCATTTTCCTCTTGTGCAGGAAATGGAAGCTTATATGGGATTCATACAGAATTTTACAGAATGTGCCTGGTAGAACATTATGGAAAAAATAGTAGCTTGAGACTTATATATCAAAGCAAACCCACTGAAATCAATGGAACATATAAAACACAAAGTTAAATTATGCTATGCCTAAATGTGGATCAAATCAAGAGTCAGACCAAAACTGCTTCTTGAAAATATGCTGTGAATAAACAAGAAAGCAAAAAATACAAATGCAAAAAGGTTTTTGAGCCAACCCATGAACAATAAGTTTAATAGTTTTCAGCAGACCATAGCTTTCTAGAAGCTCCACTGTCTCATCTAGTTGAAGATGGACATACAGTAAACACAATAATATATGATACAACCCATCACAACTGGATTAAAAAAAATACACAAAATATAATACATAAAAATGGTTTTACATTGTGGACTGACAGAGCTCTAAAAAAAAGGTGACCATAACCCTGGTAGGTTTTACAAAGTCTTTAAAAAAATAAAACAGTACTTCATGTGAAATTCATAAATACATAGGATGTGGGGGAGAGTTGATTGTTGAGATTTGTGGTATATCCAACTAAGAAACATTCATGAAGCATTCTTGACATTCTTTCCTTAAGCTTGCTGTCGCTATCTGAGGATACCAAATAGGCACTTAAAAGTATAAATCGACCTGAAAGTTGAGGCCAGGGGTGGAGGGGAATCTGAAGAGGAAAGCTGAGGATAGAAAATCTAATATTATGGCACGGGAGGACTAAAAAGGAAGAGAAATGTAACAGTCCGGTTTAAGAGGCGGCATATTTGAAAGGCTTTAGCTGATGATTGTCAATGTAATAGAAGAACATGCATTTACATAAAGACCTTTGTTCTCCCCACATCTTTTTTTTAACAAAAGGTTATTTTATTATACATGAGCTAATGAGAATAGGGAAAGTTTAATCTTATTCCTAGAATTTTTCATTTAGGAATGAAAAATGCTACATATAAATCAGCCAGCACTCCTGTCCTTATAGATGCTGAGGGCTGAAACAAAAAGGAATTCAACATCCCAGGCTCTATTGATTTTGCCTTCTCCCATATTAATAGCTGTAATAGCTATTATTTTATACCAAGGATGCTGTACCTCTTTCCCCAAAGGCTTGAGGAATCTCAAAACGTACCTGAATGTCAAAGCTGGCATTTACTGTCCAGTCAATTCTTCCTAAGGATAACATTTAGGACTGAAGATTGTGACATCACAGTGACCCAGTTTGCCCAAACAACACATGAGGTTGTGCTTGGAACATTCAATTTATCAAGGACAGTGGAGCAGAATTAACATGAGGCAAGGAGAAAAGGAGAAGCACAATTTCCACTTGGCATGGCTTGATAAGAATTTTCAGCACATGTTATGTTGCTCATCTCTCCAGAACACAACATGTTGCAAAATAAGGCACAGTTCTGAGCAAATTGTGACTTGGTTCTCTACAAATTCCATTTCTGTGTACCATTCCATTAGTATGATCACCTTGGGAACTCCTTAATACAGAAAGGAGTGTTTGTTCTAACATTGTCATGGAGTTATCCAGAAGTTCTTGGGTGGAATCAATTACAATCAATTAATACGGGGGTGGGGGACGACACACAATCTTACTTGAATTTAAAACATCCTTCAAAGGGTTGGGAAACGACTCTGTCAGTTTTTCTTATGTTGCCACCTTGGAGTTGCATGTGTCACTCAAACAACAGTCCAAAGGCTCTTAGGAACATTCTTATTCTTCTGATCAAACACTGAATTAGCCAGTGCCTTTGTATCTGGTCCTTCCAGCAAAAGCTGACAATTCAGGTAGTGAAAACGGTACTAGATCAGTAATGTAGTGGTCATACAGGCCAATAGTGAAAATGAGGCCCACGTCAGTTATGAAAAAGAGAGCATGATTTTACGAAAACAAAACTACTATCTATCCTCTCAGACAGAGAGACAGACAGACAGTGGCAAAAACGACACCCCCCCAAAGCACAAAACCCCTTGAAAAAGAAGGAATAACCAATGTTAAGGCAGAAGTTTAACCTGAATATTATGCGACCCAGTGCCATGAACTAAATTCACAACTCATCTGTTTTAACATATTTTTATTCTGAAATTTCCCATCTACTTTTCACAGTCTCTTTGGGGGCTGTCCTCCTATATGCTAATAATACTATGGGGAAAATAACATTTCATTGTGATGAAATGTCTCCTTTACAGCACCTTAAAAAAACCATCCATTTAAAGTGGGACAGATACCCAAGCATGAAAATGTAATAGTGGCAGGCTTTGACCTGTGCATTCCAAATTGTTCTAGAAAGGAGTAACCTCCTGTGCTCCCTTTTCCAACAACCACATCTTTACCTTCTAGTGTGCCCCTTTCCCAAGTACCTGCTTGGGAGTTCCTCCATCAGAATTCTACTCGCTTTGGGAAAGGTCAATGGTCTAGGGGTTAGTCTTGCTGGGTTGATCAGAAGGAATTGGACAAGAAGAGGTGGTTTTTGTTTCAGTAAAAAAACCCGTAGGACAAGATAGGAAAAGCTCAGTGATAGAGACTCAATGGTAGGGACAGGCAAAAATCATACATTCTGTTAAATCCTCTACTACTCAAAACTACGTGCTAATAGTTAAGACAGGGTATAGTTGAAATCTCCTGGGCCTCAGTCCAGTAGATGCCATGCATGATGATATTGACGCTATTTCTGTAACAGAATTCCTAAAAGCACCAATCTAAATTAGAAGGCAACTATGTTAAACTCTAGGCTTAAAACCAGAGGCCTGTGTTTAGACTTAAACATCAGCATTTTCAGCAAGAAACAATACAGCTTTCAAGTGACGTGGGACTGCATTTTGTCTTTCAGTATCTCCTTAATTAGTTTGATGCTAGCAAACCCTGCAAGGATTTGCTAGGGAAAGATACGTAATACAGAGGGGGTAAAAAGTATCTGGACAATTATATTCTGCCCCTTTTTCTGTGACTAGCACAGAAGCAGAAAAATTAATACCTCACCAGAATAATGCTTTGGTCTATGCTTTTCCCATAATGTTTTTGGCAAGGCAAATATACAAAGAAAGAAAAAAGTAAAAACATAAGAAAATAGCTTCTTATGAGAGTTGTTAAATTCCCACAGACGTATGGAAACATGTCCAAATTACTCAGCCTTAGCCAGCCCAAACATTTCCCTAGACCATTATACCAATGTTTCTCAACCTTGGCAACTTTAAGATGTGTGGACTTCAACTCCCAGATTTCCCCCGCCAGCTGTCTGCAAAATCTTAAAAGTTGTTAAGGTTGAAAGACACTGCCTTAGACAGCTATCTTGCAATCCCCCTAGCCTAGTCAGACTGTTAATTTCATGATTACCCAATTTGCTTTCCTCCCAGTGCCCTCCTTCTTCTAATACATACTCTAACTTATAATATCCCACAAGACCTTCCTTTGCTTGCTGGGGTTCTCATTCATTTTTTCCCAAGTCAGCCAGTCAGCCAGTCTCTCTCTTTCTTGCACATCCATACCCTTGCCTTCTTCCCCTCCCCCAAGCTCATACTACTATTACTCATCTCTTCTATTCAAGCATCTGGGACAAAATTGCCACACTTTTTTGTCATAAATCATCAGCAGAAGCCTTCCACCAGCTTCTCAGCTTGGGTAGGAGGTGGGAAAATGCAGCAATCCTGCATTTAAAATGCCCAGGGTATTAAGGGAATAAAGTTATTTCCTTATTATTAACCAACAACTCCCCATGTTGCCCCAACTCCTTATTTTGGCACTTCACACAGACTTGTGAATCAAGAGATATTTTTCTTTTAAAAAAAAATCATTATCTTCCTCAGGGACTCGATCGGTTCAAAGGCAGCATCAGATTTCCCAACCTTTCTTAGAACAAGCATCTTCAGCCTGCCCATGTTCATTGTTCTCGGCAGATCAAAGCCACTAGGACAGAATCTGGAATTTGGCATGGAAAACATAGGCACATATGGATATTAACAAGAGTCTCGTTTCACCAGATGCTGTTAGCATTTTGTTGCTGGGAAGGCATCAAGAGGTACCAGACCTTGGCACCAACATCTCCTGAAATACTGATGATCTTAGCCCCCAAGATCAGTTCTTCCTGCTGCCTCCAGATATAATTCTCCTTTCACTTTATGCTTTCTTGTAATGCTTTTTTCTGTTTGTTTGTTCAAAATGTTCCTAAGTAGAAAACATCTGTGAGTGTGAGTCATTTTTTTGGCATATTTTTTCTTTGTTCATTTTCAAAGGATGTGTGTCAAGGCATCCTATAGAGGTGGCTTCTCTGACAAGACTTCTCTTTCCTCCCTCTTTTTTAAATTGTCCAGTCAACCCAGAGGGGCCTTTAGTCTTTGACCAACTTGTACACATGATGCTGAGCTCCATGCTCACTGGTTGATACCTCGAAAACAAACGCTATGCAAAGTAATGTTTCCTGGGTATCTCTGTTTGTAACAACCTAGTTAAAAAAGAAACACATTTAGGGAGATCAGGGAAAGTCAAACCGAATGAAAAAGTCAAGTTATAAATTCAGAGAAAGAGTAACATATTTTGCATAAAAAACAACCACTGAAATTTATGCAGGAATTCTTCTATCTAACTCAATAAATTTGGATTACGTTAGAGAACTCAATATAAATGATGGCATTAGGATGATGTTTTCCACAATTTTACTAGACACTTATTTCTTATTTATAGGATCTCATGTCCCTTCAGTGCTATTTTATGTGGGCAGGACCTTTTATTTGGGTTTCATGTTTTCTTGTGAACAGCTTAAGGCTTAATGTATATGAAAAATGCTACATTATAGTGGAACCCTAATTATCCCTACTAATTAGTCAATTTTCTGAACTGTTATCTATTTAGGACTGAATATGAGGAGCTATTTTATTTTAGGAGTTGTTGCCCAAGTTTACTTTTTCCCCCTTTTTCCTGCCAGTCTTTTTCTCTTTTGAATAATGTTTTTACATTGTAAACTCACAGGCAGAGGCTGATTTTTTTAAATTGATTTTGAAAATCAGTTTTAAAAAAGGTTATGGGTGGATGAGAAGTAATATAATTTACAGAACAATCATAGATAGTTATAAGAGTTGCAGAGCTAGTGGCTTTCATTAGATTAGCTAACACATAGCAGATGCACACCTGCACTTTAAATGTGCAAAAATCCAGGAAAAAAAGAACTTGTTATCAATAAATTTATAACATCCTGTTTCAAACAGGAAAAAGTGTTTCAAAACATGTTAGGAGGTGCTGTCAGAGGTCATGGGATTACTCCATCATCTTCTGAATCTCAATGGCTACATAATCCTAGGAAGTAATCAAATAACTTACCAATCATTAAGCCATCCTTTAAAAAAATAATAATAAATAAATAATGAGTGCTAAAAGAAGAAAACTCTGAGAGGAAAGGAATGAAACTATTATTTATACTGGTAATCCTTGACTGTAATGGAGCTTGCCTGTTACAGTTGTAAACTGTGACAGTCATAAAATGAGTTACCCACACAGCTGACCTGATTTTACAATATTTTTTGTGGTGGCTATTAAACAAACATGGTGGTTGTATAGTGAAGTCTTGGCCATTAAACAAACCCATTGTATGCTATAGAGCATGGGTCGTCAACCTGGTCTCTACCGCCCACTAGTGGGCGTTTTGGGATTCCAGGTGGGTGGTAGGGATTTTGGAGGTCAAAACCTCCTTTTGAGCGAGTGGGCAAGCGCAAGCGCACACATCAATAAACCAACGTGCGCGTGCACGGAAACAAGGAAACACGTGGGAAGAGTAAGGGGAGGAGTGGAAACTGATAGCAGGGACAGGCAGATAAGTTTTGTTATCTTACGAAATAAAGCCGGAGCAGAGCAGTTGCAAAATAGGAGAAAGAAAAGTTATAGGCAGGAGAGAATTGTTGTTGGCTAATAATAATAAGTGGGCTAACTAGCTCAGCCTTACTTTTNTACAGCCATTACAGCAAAATACAGCAATAGTGGGATACGGTGGCTCAGTGGCTAAGACCCTGAGCTTGTCAATCAGAAAGGTTGGCAGTTCAGTGGTTCGAATCCCTAGTGCCACGTAACGGAGTGAGCTCCAGTTACTTGTCCCAGCTTCTTCCAACCTAGCAGTTCGAAAGCACATAAAAAATTCAAGTAGAAAAATAGGGCCCACTTTGGTGGGAAAATAACAGTGCTCTGTGTGCCTTTGACATTTAATTATACTGGCCACATGACCAGGGAGACGTCTTCGTACAGTGCTGGCTCTTCAGCTTAGAAATGGAGATGAGCACCGCCCCTTAGAGTTGGAAATGACTAGCATGCATGTGCGGAGGAACCTTTACCTTTACAGCAATTCTGTAGCAATTTTTATAATCCAAAGTTATCATCTGAAAATTGCACTGATTCAAAAGGTTATGATTTTTAAATGCATGTGTGACCTATTTAAAAATAGCCATTTATCATGACCCATCAGTTTCGGAAAATGCAACCATACTGCTTCTGCCCTTGAGTCTACCTGAAACTGGGCATCTTGTCTCACGAAATAATATAGGCAGCAGAACTGAATAAGGCTGAATAGTTGTGGGTCAATCCTTCCACCATACTTCCAAGCCCTCTTGCTCTTTTTCAGTTGTGCTACAATTGTGCCTTGCTGCTGAGGCCTTCCTAACAAACAGCTTGGTAAAATAATCTCAAATTGCAACTTCTTTGTCTGAGTAACATTCAATTGGCATCTGCCCCCCGCCCCCTCCTGCTTATTTCCTTACACTACATACGCATGTTCACTAGCTGATCTTTAACCAGACATTTTCAAACAATTGCTTTCAACTGGCTGTCACCCACGTGGGATCTGACATCACAGTACATCAAATAAATGTTTCTTTTTGGGGAAAGGAGGGGTGCTTTAATTGACTCAGGATGTCCAGTTCCTGTACTGACTGAATCATTGTTTCCATGAATGTGAGCTGCGTGCCCACCACCTGGGATAAAAAACTTATGACTTTCTAATGCTCTAACTTCTTTGATTTAGGCAACTTAATACTTTGTTTATGGAAAATTTTCCTCCTGGTTTATAACATTCAACATCTGAAAAATGTGCCAAGTCAGTATATTAGATAAAAATCCCATGTCTGTCTATTTTGGTATCTTTTAAATATTCGTTTAAAATATGCCTCTATTCTTTCTATTGTTCTATAAAAGTCTTACATTTCATATAACATAGATGTGCCAAAATCTGAAGTTTGCATTGACTTTTTGGTGAGGAGACGACTTCCTTCCTTTCTCAACAGACCATACTTGCTGTACGAAAGGATTATTCAATCCCATTTCTACTTTCAGAAGATAAGGGCATTTTTCCTTTCTGCAGAATTCATCCAGGACAGTTGTGGGACAAATTTCTTGCCTCAGAATTTGTTTTTGATATTTTCTATAGGAGCACTGCCAGCAAATGCTGCCTTGTTCATCCTTTGAAGCCTTTCTCAATGTGGAGCCTTCTAAAAATGTTAGTCCATCTATTCCATTATCTTCAACCAACACAATTATGCTGGCTGAACATCATGGACATTTTAATCCAACACATCCAAAAAGTCTTGGGTTAAAGAAGGCTCTCTCATGTTATGATCAAGATGTAACTCCTGAGTTAAAGTTTGAAAGGAAGGAAATGAAGTTGCCATTGACAGTAAGACTGAGAACTGAACTGATGTTTAAATAGAAGGCTGTTCTTCTCTGCTGTTGTGATTGATTTCCTAGTTTACTGCTGCTTCATTTCCTATTTCGTACCTTCCTGACTTGCCAGAACAGCAGCAAAAGTAAACTGAAATTTGCAGTTGTACTTCTTGGAAAATAAGAAATATTAGTGTTTCCGGTACATAGCCAAATACACACAGACACAGAAATACACACACCTTCAATCTTAATAAAGATCAAGACATACAAAATGACTCACCATTTCACTACATATGAAGGTAGTGAGGGGCAAACAGACCTGATTATTATGAGACTACTAGTTACAATTGTAGCATTATTCTGATACTGAAAAACTGGAAAACAATCAGCAAAATGTGTATCCTATGACTGTGATTAAGTGTTGTACCTTATGATTCTTGACGAATGTATCTTGTCTTTTTATGTACATGGAGAGCATATGCACCAAAGACAAATTCCTTGTGTACCCAATCACACTTGGCCAATAAATTATTCTATTCTATTCTATTCTATTCTATTCTATTCTATNGTTTTAGTAGTTTTATTTAGAGGCAATTTCACTTAATAACCAAGTTGCCAGTTCCAATTGTGGTTCCTAAATTTTTTAAACATTTTCTAATGGTGGTGTGCCTCGTGATTTTTTTCATGAAAAAAGTGTGCCTTTGCACAAAAAAGGTTGAAAAACACTGGTATAAGTCACCAGAATCCAACCGACTGAGCAGCCATAATAAATTTAATAAATTAAATTAAGGGAAGGTTATTTATGAACAAAATAGAGGTATTAATTAGAAATCTCAGACTTAAGGACAAACATGAAGAGTGCTATGAGTTAAATAACTTCCATGTGTAAAACACAATTTTTCACTTACTGCTATAATAATACAAAAAGTCAGTGTTCTGCTTTTACTGAGTCCTTGGAGGAACATAGAACACAGAAATAACAAGGTTGGAAGGGACCTTGGAGGTCTTCTTGTCCAAATTCCTGCTTGAGCGGGAGACCTTATGCGCCCTCCCAGACAAATTCTTCTTGAAAACCTCCAGCAATGGAGCACCCACAATTTTTGGATGCAAGCTTGTGATTGATTGTTCTCTCAGTCAGGAAATTTCTCCTTACTTCTAGATTGAATCTTCCTTCAATGATCTTCCACCCATTATTTCTTGTCCTGCCCTCAGGTGCTTTGGAAAGTAGACCAATCCCCTCTTCTCTGTGACAACACCACAAGTACTGGAAGACTGGTATCATGTCACTCCAGTCCCTCTTCATTAGACTAGTTCTCTCAACCATTCATTATATGGTATAGCCTTCGGACCTCTTATCTTTATTGCTCTCCGTTATACTCTTTCTAGAGTCTCAGCATTATTTTTTATCGGAACTAGATGCAATATTCCAAGTGTGGTCTCACCAGTGAAGTATAAAGCGGCACTATTACGTTGCATAATCTTCATATTATCCCTCTTTTGATGTAGCCTAGGACTGCATTGACTTCTTTGGCAGCTGTAGTATATTGCTGGCTCATATTTAAGTTGTAGTCCATTAGGATACCAAATTCCTCTCAGTTATGCTATAACCTATGGAGCCAGGTATAACCTATTATATAACTGTGCATTTGGGTTTTCTCACCTAAGTGTAGGACCTTACTGTTCTTACCACTAAAATGCATTTTATTGGATAGGACCCAGTGTTCAAGTCTGTCAAGATCCTTCTGAAACTTGTGTTTATCTTCCAAAGTATTAGCTATTCCTCCTAGCTTGGTGTCATCTGAAAATTTAATGTATTCCCCTTCTACTTCCACATCCTGATCATTTATGAAAATGGTGAAGAGTAACTGGGCCTAAAACAGAACCTTGAGGTACTCCCTGTATGGAATGTTCTAAGAATCTAATATCTGAATAAGTACTAAATGGGTTTTCTCATTTTCTCATAAATTGATTTTTCTGTTGAATTGCACCACTTCCTTCTCTCAACCAGTTCATTTACAGAAGAGTATCTATAGAACAAAACCAAGACATCAAAGTGCAACCTAGAAAAGTTATATAAAGACATACAAAAAAGGAAGCTTTTGTTCCAGCTATCAGAACACAATTCTAGTCAAAGTCTGAGTATAATTATGGCCCTAAAGCATAATTCTGTAATCTCTTGACTTACTGGCTCAGCATTCCTTCAACATCAATTTGATTTTAGTGCAAAAAGCCCTCTTTCCATATGTATGTGTATTATGAATGTCATTGTGAATATATTGTCTTATATGTTGATTCTGCTTTTATTTTGCATACGGGTAAGTGAACTGAGGACAAGCAAAAATTCATTTTAGAGAACATGTAACTTGGATGAGCAGCCTGCATTCATATGCTGCATATAAATTATAAAATACACAGCCTAGTGGCACTATCACTTTCATTAAGATGATAATTATTCCAATTAAATTCAATATTGCAGTTGGTAAAAAAAAGAAGAGTTCATGGGAGCAGCAATGGGAAAAGAGAGCTATTCTATGTAAACAAATATTTGAATCACATTCAGATGGTGGTAAAGGAGACAGGAGACAAGAGACCAGAAATTTTTTGCACAGTTGAGCATCAAGAGTGTAAATTGGAGAAATCAAGTGACCACTTACTGGCTAGTGATGGAGGCATGGGTGGCTGAATGGGGTAGGGTGGTTGTGCAAAAGGTTTAATGCTGAAAAACAAAATAACATCAAATAGATTAAATTATTTTGACAAACTTTCCTCTAATCTGCGTATCTCAGCTACAAGCTTTACTCTGAATACTAAATGCCAGGCAATACGAGCAATAGCAAAAGGTGGAAGGATGAGGGAAACGATGAAATGTGTGATGGTACCATAATATAAATATCATGTATTACATATTTACGTCAGATGTTGGGGTACGGGTGTAAAATTGCAGCATTTGTGTGATGATGTCTTTGGTTGCATGTCATTATTTTGCCAACATTGGGATTTGCTGCATATGTGACCAGGCAGCAAGTGCTAGATCATTATATCATTGGGCTTCTCAGAGTCACAGGCCAGTCAATGTGGAAGCACAGTGCTAGACCTGATGGATCTTTTGATGTGAGCCAACATAAGCCTGGATTTCTGGGATTATATGTCTAAAAGTACTGACTCTCCAGTACTTTTACATCATATCATAAATTTAATACAGTTGATAAGGAAATATTGGTGGGCTTTGCTGGGGCAGGGTTTCTGAAGTGGAACATTATCTAAACAATGGAAGAGTTCACACATTTATTTTCCACATTTGAGTTGGAGCAATCTCTATGTGCAACTGGTAACCAGGATTCAATTATTCTGTTTTAGAAAAATAGTAACAAGTTTGTTTGAAAAACATAATCTTGCATCAGCACTAAAAATGTACCATTAGCATACAGCTCAAGCACTTACTTTACAAAGTCATGTTCAAGACTATCCCATCCCATCCCATCCCATCTGTCCCTACTTACTCCTGAGAAGGTCCAGACTGTCCTGGGATAGGCCCACTCCAAAACTGAGAAAGCAAAAAGGACACAAAACATGAAGTCAAAGATATTCTCAATAGCTGATATCATCATTCAATGATTCACAGCATGTTAAGGGTGAATATTTAATACATTTTCCATAAAATAGTTTGAAACGTCTGCCACCAGCAGTTAAAAACTGGGACTACATCAGTGGGAATCTTTACGCAAAGCCAGAGAATTATCTTAATTTTAGTAAAGTAATTGTTAGATAGATGTAGGGCAACAGTGAAGGAATTAGTGGCTGTGACTGAGCTTCCTGATCTTTAGAAGAATCTTAGGAGCCCTTCTGTGGGCTTAGCACCATCACTGAAAAAAAATGAGGCTGGAAACTTATATCCATTTTGGGGGGATGGTGGGAGAAGGGATGAGAATGCGGGGGGGAGGCTTTTGAGGGGCAAACCAGTACTATTTACACTTTTAAAATTCACAATCTCAAAATTGCCATAGGTAGTCCTTGGGTAATGACCATTTGTTCAACAACTGTCAGAAGTTATGACTCCCCCGTCACATGATCATGATCCCATGATGGTTCATGTGGTCATGTAATCACCATTTGCAACCTTCCGTGCCAGCTTCCCACAAGCAAAGTGAATGGGGAAGCTAGAAAGGAAGATCACAAGTCACTCCAGTAAGTAACTCCCATTCCTGCTGCTTTTTCTCCTGGGGAATCTGGCTATGGAGAATAAGATCCCATACTACTCTATAGCATGGGCCCACCTGCAGTCTGAAGTGCATGTCCAATCACCCAGCCATACTGTTGTGGTGCCTACCGACAAACCCTCCTGCATTGGCAGCAGCAACCCCCAGCCCACCATCATGCTTATAAGCCACACAAAACTTCTTTGTTTAGTGATTAAACATGGCACTTGAATTAAAAAGACAGAGATGCAGGTTGGTATAAAATACCTAACATGTTTCAAATAAGCCAAGAGCATCTCTCCTAAGAATCCTTTCTGCTCATGACCCTACATCCATATGCGGGGCATTTCTTACCCTGGGAGCAGCAGAGAAGACAGCCTGAGGGAGTGGATGAGGAGGACTCAGCTTGTTCTGCAGGACACTAGCAGACACAATCTGTGCCGAAGACATTGAAGCCATACTCTGCAAAGCCTTGTCCTTTGAGACTTGATCCTTCAAAATAGGATAAAAATGAAACAGAAGGAGGGCTTGCTAATCCATACCTTGAGAGCGCACAAAAATAACAAGCAATCTGAAATTAAGGGATAGTTGTTACGGTCTTTGTTAGTTACAACAAAACCATTTTCTGTCTGAGCTTCAACTACTGTACACTAACTATAAACCATTCATCCAAGTTGTTTCTGAAAAGTAATGAAATAGTTGCCACTACTTTTAGAAAGGTACCTTGTTAATCAGAGACAGTCAAATTCTTTGGTTTTGTACAACTTAAGCAGAGACAGCGAAGCAAATCACAGGCAGCGTCTTAGAATAATATTCAAATTCTCCAAACAGCAGCTTCTAATTTTCTCTTTCTAGCAGTATCAGAAATCATTTCGGGTTTCCCTGAGGTTAAGGATTTTTAAACTCTTGTCGGGACCTATACGGTATCTACAGCTAATGGAATAAAGAGAGGTCTGGGTGGTACTTACCAGGTTCATAGCCTGCATGAAGGGAAAAAGAAAAAGAGAAATATGATTAGAACTCAGGTATGGGTGAAGGCTGAGGAAAATCTGCATAGTATCTATAATCATAATAGGATTTCAAGGTATTGCGATAATCTACCTTTACTTTGTCCCAAAGGTACTATTTCAAAAGGCAACCGGGCTTTGTTTTTCCTTAAGCTTCCTCATACAAGAAGCTTCTTCAGTTCTCGAAGTTCTTCAGTTTCTTGGATGAGAAGTGAAACGTCTTCAAGGAAAAANTCAAGAAAGATCCATTAGTGGGCGGTAGGTAGAAAAAGGTTGACTACCACTGCTATAGAGTATTTTTGCTGAAAACTGAAAAGTAAGGACCAGTTTTCAGCAAAAACATAGTAAATTGGGGTCAAGTAAAATAGAGACAAGGACTACCTGTAAGCCAAGAACAAACCACTCTGATTCCCTACAGAATTTAATTAATCTTGATGTGCTTCTCATCCTTTTATAAAGATTAGTTTTAGTATCTGGGCAGCAACAACACTGAAATGATTAAGAAGTGCTTTACTGAGCACCAGTGAGAAATGAAGGGGCCAGCTAGGAAATGAAACAGAAGAAGGAAGAGATTCTTTACCTGTAGGATGGTGAAATTCTCCAGGACACTATTCATCATGTATTTTTCTGGAAGATGTTTCAGTTTATGGATGAAGTTGATCATATACTCGCACATAGGAGACCGATGGATTCGATAGACACATCTTCCATTCTCCATCCGAGCAAATTCAGTCTGCAGAAAGACATGTAGAGATCGTGTAAAGCTAGCAGTGCTGAATCTGAGAATACCTACTCAGAATGGGCAAAGATAATCAAATGGATTATCTATTTGTTCCCCATAGAGAAAGCATAGGACTCACCTCCACTTTTTCAACAACTTGTTTTCCAAAGGAGCACACTTTAGTGGAGACTGTGATGGTCATGTTTTCAGCACTGCTATATTGACTGCTTACACCATAAAAAGCACCAGGACCATCCTGTATAGTGCTGTTCAGATCCGCCTAGAATAGAGCAAGAGGTTAATGCAAATTAAACATGGATTAGAATGATTTATTGGCTCAGAATAGAGATCTAATTCATGCTAGTTAATAGAGCATGTTGATCAGTTGGACGGGGAAAAGGTAGATGGGGTCCACCTTTCACTCAAATATAGATGTCAAATCCATCTAGTGTACAAAAGGAATAAAACCATAGCCAAATTAAGATTGAGGGGTCCTTGGGCTTGCTAGAGCACTGATGATGTTACATAGTTTGAGTAATGAAACATCTGCAAGAAAACAAGTAAGCTCAGAGAGCACCAAGGACCCCTCATTTCAACCCTGAGCTACAAATATTCTCCTTTATTGGCACCAAATTAAGATTATTTAATACTGCATGGATACTGCTTTAATAAGGTATCTTCTCCTATCTAATTGTATATTACACCCCCAATTATATCAGCCTTCTTCAATGTTGGATGGGAATTGGTCCAACATTCTGGAAGACTAAGACTAGAAAAAACTTATTACAGGAATAGGCTAAGAAGAATATAGTAAGATCATCTGCCATATTATCATGTAAAGAAATACTTAATAATCACAGACACTGCTTAACGTCAACCTGCATGAAGTTCTTACCCAAAACTTGACAAGGAAGAAGGAGTTCTGGGGTCCTCTTTCATAAAGTTCTTTCAGGCCACCTTTTTTCTCAGGAAACTTGTCATAAATCTGGCGTATGTCCACTGCTTCCAGGAGTGGGTCACTGTATGAGGGGTTCGTCTGTCCGATATGCACAAAAAGGTGTTTGCTATACTGTAATGGGAAAGAAAACAGAGGGCATCATTGCTCACTATGTAGGTTGAAACATTGCAAAAATAATAATAATAATAATAATAATAATAATAATAATAATAATAATAATAATAATAATAATAATAATNACATTCATTTATTTTATTTTAAACGTTACATTTCTGTACAGACACAGCTCTATACAGAGCACATCTCCAATGATTGGGAGAGCTGATGAAATACAATAAGCCAGGCAATAGGGAAAAAAACCCAAAAGAAATCTGTTCTGTTTTATAGTGACATAGTTTGCAATCCACTCCAATCTCTCGGGACAGTTTGCAGTCCCCTTAAATATGCTTAGAATTGTCTTATAAACCATTTCCTGGCTATATATGATTTCAGTTTCAGCAGGAAGTTATAGACTGTTAGCTTCAGAGCTGAGAATCATATCTGTAAAGATAAACAGCTCAACATGAAAGATGTTCTTTTAGGCAGCCCAATAAAGATTCCTAGATAAATCAGCCCAGATGTAGGACTGGCATTTCCAATTTCACTGTACTGTGGAAGGACATAAACCACAGTTAAAATAGGAGGAATTGATTGGAACTCTAGAAACAATCATTTTCCTATTCCAAATAGACAGCTTTCATTAATGTCACACACGGCAGTTTAACATAGCTAACACTGAGTTCCATTAAAGCCTTCTGCCGCTCTCCACTAATGAACCGTAATGATTCTAAAAGCTACTCCTATATGTTTGAAGAGGAAGAAAATGGAAACAAAGGTTAGAATGAAGTTTCAAGCATGACAGCTTTTGCAACACATGTGACCTGTCTGCTCTTTTTCCATTCATAAAATTACCTAGAAGACCATCGGATAGGTATACACATAGTACATTTCCCATCCCGATTCTGTTTTTTATACTGCACTTCAATTTGATTGAAATTGACCAGAAGAATGAAAGTTTCTGATTCAATTAGGCAGACCTAGCAATAACAGTCACGATCCAGTAGTCATCTCGAGACTGTTCACAATGTGGTATGCAATCTCACGTACAAGGAAGAATTACAGATTTCTTACTGTTTGTTCAAAATTTCTTACTGGCATAAACGCTCCCTCCCTGAAATAGAAAACCCCTTTCATCTTTCTCTTATATTTCCCATTCTTGTAGTTGTTTTTCTTTACTTATGGCTGTAGATTTCAAATTCTCAAAATCCAGAACTTGGCTAGTCAGAACCCTTCCCTCCACCCCTGTTTTTAAAAATTTCCACCAAGTTAAATTAATGAGGAAGAGTGATATTAAGGGGGCAAAGGAATTAAGAATGAAAAAATGAAATGAAATAAAGTAAAGTAAAAGTACTTATATGAAACTTTAGCTTTTACTGAATTAAAACTTAATAATACCGTGTTTTCCCGAAAATAAGACAAGGTCTTATTTTCTTTTGACCCCCAAAATAAGCAGTTGGCCTTATTGTGCGGGAGGTCTTATTATTTTTGAGGTGCAGGAGGTGGCGAATGTGGTTACCTCATGGCTGTTGCTGTGTTGCAATATTTTTGGAGAGGGCTTATTTTTTGGGGAGGGTTTATTTTAGCGCATATGCTCAAAAGTCTCATTGGG